GTGACTCGTAATTGACCAATTCCGTAATCGAATTTCTTCAAATCTCAATTGTTTTCGTTAAGAAATCTGTAGATCTAGCGAGATCGTATTGATCGGCTGTTTCCATACATCTAAATCTGATAATAAAAACAACGATTAGGGATCGGTTGACTTATAAATTCGATTTTTGTTTGTTTATTATATGAAGAGATCGAAGAAACCCAGGGTTTCATGGCCTCCAGGTCCTAAGCTTTGTCAGGTATTTTCATAAAAATCGTCGTATCTTCGATGCTTTTTCTGCAGTTTGTGATTCGTGAATCCGAAATTAGATTGTTAATCGTCTTATTGTTTGTTGATCGGAACTCGATTATACTATCAAAGTTTGAATCTAAATCGGTGTGTATATGATGAATTCAATCTCGTTTGAAACTTTAATTTTAACCATACGAATTGAATCGGTGGTTAATTAGTCTTCTAATTGTTATTTAATTGAATTCAATCGGAAATAAACGAAAATTGGGATGTGAAAACTGAACCAACTTTGACGAAGAAACAAGTCTTTAAATTACTTTTAAGTTAAAGATAATAACGTTTTAACCCATACTGATAATGAGAAAGAGGCAAAACGTATGTAAATGTGATCCATTTATATGAATTTTTTGATTATATTGTCTTGGAAACTTGAAATAACATCAGTTGGATTTGGAATTGATGTATTTACACAATATACAATGAAGTTTTGAACTTTAATTAATAGTGAATGCATCAACTCGTTACTCTGCATAATCTGTGGTTGATTGTTCCATATTTGATAGATACACACATGACTTTGACACATGAAAAAACCAGCATTGCTCAGCTTCTAACTGTTTCGGATTTGAACAGGTTAAGATGTTTCGAACAGAGGATTGTCCGGCAAAAGTTGCCTCTCAGCCTCAACGTCATAACTACCCGAATCAATCATCTAGGAAACCTCGTGTGCCAGATCTTCCACCCGGTTTCGAAGGAAATCACTACGCGGATAAGCCGAACGTCTCAAACATTCCTCGGATCAAATGGAAACGACCTCTTACGGTATATTATACAATCCACATTTGGGGAAGAAGCCCTTTTGAAGCGCTACTTTCTTTTATATCGGATACTAAAGTGTCTTGGACAAAACAGTTCCTAGCCAATGATAGTTGGCTGATTGGAGATGGTGGTGAGAGCACAGAAAGGCGAACTGAAAACTTGAGGATTGCTAAAGTGTTGGAAGCTATCTATCCGCATCGCTCCGCCATCCCTTCTCGGTAATTACCTTCTTTCTTGCTCCCAAGACATTTAGGTTATTCAACACTGTGTTGCTGTCTTATCCCGTTGATCGTATTCTGTTTTCGCACAGACCCTCTGTTTCGCCGGTGGTAGAAGCCGAGCGCTTTGATGACAGCAACACTCCTACCATTCGTCTCACTCCCATTGAGGACGAGTGCGAGTCTGCCGATGAATCATCCACCACTTCACTTGAGTCCAGCTTTGTCACAAACAAGCAAGATCAGTTGGAAACCAAACTTCCCTGTTCAACCAAAGAACCGGTTTCTGGTCTTGCACCAGACTTGAGTCTGGTTGCTTCTGCAGCTCTGGCTGCACTTATGAAAACCAAGGAACAGGGGAGTATGGTCGATCCTGAGCTACTTATCAAATTCCTCAGCGACCCGGAAATTATCAAGAATCTGATCACTGACACAACAGGTAAATCCTCTGAAACTAAGAATCAGCTCATTGACACTAACGTCAACCCTACTAGACTTGTTCCGCAACATGTCACCTCGTCGCCCATGGTTAGAAAGCCGCAGCCAATAATAATACCTCAAGAACAGAGTTTTGCAGCTTCTCAGTCTTTTACTAACCCCGAGCAGAGACGAGTGTCTCCATCCATGCCTGGAAACGGGAACGTATCCCTTCGAAAACCTATAAATGGAAACCCGGTAAATATACCAATGCCCGTTCACTCCTCTGTCGGCATAGCTAAAGAACAACCTCTGCCTGTTCGGCTCCCATCAAGTTCTCTGCCAATGAACATTAACTTCCAGAGACCTCAACATACTTTCTCAGAACAAAAGGTAAAAGTAAAGCCTCAACCTCAACTCCAACACAATTCCGCATTCCGCACTTCTGAAATGAACAATGTTCGAGCATCAATTGGATTTGGAACGGGTCCTCAAACTGGTTTCAATACTTATCCAATGAACTTAAACCGGGTTGATGCTACTCGTAGACCTAAACCAGTAGTGCAATCCATGAAGAGTCTAGACTATTTCAAGAACCTTATAAGGGAACATGGGACAGAGAATCATGAAACTAACCAATTCCATTCACAAACTGGAAAACTTAATGGATGCATTGATCAAATTAAGGTTCAGAAACAGTGTATCTACTATGGCACCACGAGAGGATGCAAGCTAGGTGATAGTTGCATCTATGTTCATGACCAATTGAGGCCTAACTTTGAGGCCGAGGCTCCAATGGCTAAGAGATTGAAGTATGGAAGGTATGAGGAAAATGGCTTATGAACTAAATTCCCAAAACTGATTCATTCCAAATCACAAAATAGAGTCTTGTCCATCCTGAGGTGATACCACTTTCAATTTTGATTGATTTTTGTGCACCAAATTTTAACAAATTACTAAGTTTAGAGCACCAAATTTGTAGAGATATCAGAATTTGAACGGTCGATAAGTGGTCTGAATTCACCAGGGGTGTTTTCAGAAACAGATACGGAGAATCAGTTATCAGCTCTAAGAAAATACAAAACTCATGTTATTCATGATTTAAACAGTTTTTACATTTTGAAGTGAATTATGTATAGTCTTCATTTTAAAAGTTGACAAAACATTTTATTGATGACGAAATTTAAGTTTTCTATGATTCTATCGGTTAAAAAACTACAATGACGTTGTATGATACATCAAAAGATAGCCTAGAGCCAATGCAAAAGATAATGGTTTAATAAATAAACATTAACCGGTTAGGATAAGTTTATGCATGTAGTAAGAAGATATAAACCATCAAGATCTCCCCAAAAATCAGTAAGTAAATAAATCATAACTCTACCTTGAAATGGCAGATTGAGTATAAAGCTCATAAAACTTCCAACACCGAAAAGTAATCGTAAAGTAAACCGCAACAAAACTATGAGTCTTACAAAAATGGGGAAAATAAAATCACGAAATGCGGAAAAGGAGTGCGTGTGACAGTCCAAGTCTAGTCTGCCTTGGCTGCTGCTACGGCAGCTTGACCTCTACGACGACCAGTTCTTCTTGCACCAATTTGACCAACCTTGGCGCCAGCAGATTTATCCCGTCTGACGGTACTGGCATGACCAATGTGCTGGTGGTTTCCTCCTCCGTGTGGATGTTCCACTGGATTCATTGCAACACCACGAACCACAGGCCAGCAGTTTCTCTTCACTCGGTACTTGTGGTATGCATTTCCTGCCTTGAGAAGTGGCTTCTCTGTTCTTCCTCCACCCGCAACTTGACCAATCATGGCTCTGCACGCACTTTGGACCACCTTCTTTGTTCCAGAAGGCAGCTTAATCCTTTCCATGGAAAGTAATTAACAATTAACTCAAAACATAAACTACTTTTGCATAATCAACAATTCTTCTAATCAGTCACTAAGTGATAGACCCATTGCTGTGGCAATACAGTCATTTCATCCAAAAAAGAGCATAAACTTTGGTAAGAACAGAATACGTGGTTAATTATGTACTTGTCTGATTGACCAAAGTAAATGCAACGATTCATTTTATTAACAATAAATTCCATGTATGATCATTTCTTAGGTCAAGTGTTAGATGATGGATGTGTTCCAATAATAAATTTAGTTTGAGACACAAGTAAACAATTGAAGCAACTTAAAATTAGGTCAAAAGAAGATATTATATTATACCTAGTGCTGCCATCATCAGCGTTGTGAGAAATCACGATTGCGTAATCACCAGAAGCCCTAGCGAAAGCTCCACGGTCACCAGCATGGAGCTCAACGTTACAGACAACAGCTCCCTCGGGAATAGATCTAAGAGGAAGAACATTTCCGACAACAAGAGTCGCTTTCTTACCACAGTAGAGGAACTGTCCGGTATACATACCTTCGGCTGCAACGAACAGTTCCTTCTGCTTCTTGTAACGAAAAGGATGGCGAAACTCGACGCGGGCAAGAGGAGCTCCACGACCAGGATCGTGGATGATCTCGGTCACTAGTCCTTTGAGGTAGCCATGTCGCTCGCCGTAGTCGAGGCTACGGAACTTAGCCGGACCTTTACGGTGGTGAGTGTGGGACTTGAAGACCGAACCAGCAGCACCTTTACGCTGTGCCCTAATCACACGACCCATGACAAACAAGCCGCCTTTTCTTCTACGTAGCCCTCTGCGCACGCTATTCACCTAAACCCTAATGTCTTTCTTATTTATAAAGCGCGTGTTCTCCAAAAACCCTAGATTTTAGTCAGTTGTGGTATTGGGCCTTTTGTATCCTAGGCCCATATAATTTAGTCTGATTTGTTTCTTGAAATTGCGAACTGCATTTGAAGGCGAAAATGTAATAAGAAAGACACTTGGTGTGCAAAATTGTTGACAAAAAAAAAAGTCTGCAAAATTGTAAATGGTGGTGAATGGGAGGAATATAGAAGAAAAAAATATGTTATGTACCGTCCGCTGTTATGTTCCTTTGTTTTATGCTTGGATTTTGAATTTTCCAATGACATATGTAGTTTCTCACATGATGCATGAGTTTCTTCCATCAATCTGTTTTTTTTTTTTAAATGTAAAAGTAATATTCAATAAAAAAACTTTTTACAATGAATATTGCGCATCTTAAAACTAAATTTGATAGATAACTTTTTAACCTCAAACGTGGAAAAAAGAACATAGAAAAAACTCCTTAGAGAACTTCAGAGGCAAAAACCATTCCATCCACCTGTCGTATGCCAAATTCCAATACTTTATTAATCTTTGTGCCAAATTAATCAAATATGTGATAATCATAAAATATCTTCTCGAAACTTTTACTTCAAAAAACGTTGCTATTAAAATAATCGACATTAAACTGTTGATTTGGACTTTTGATGGCTTAAGTGTTTATAAGACGTCTTGATTATTAAAAGAGAATATATGAAACAGACATATTTAAAAAAATTATTGATTGAGCATTTGATTTAATGGTCAATAACAGCTTAAATGCTCTTGATTCTCTACGATTTTTGTGTGAAGATGTGAAGACGTCTCTTACTACACATCGATTTTTGTGTGAAGATGTGAAGATTCTTTATATAAATAATGCTACCATCTCTTACTACCTCAAAAACACATCACCCAACAAAAATTTTCTACCAAT